GCGATCGTAAGCGATTGGCCAAATGCCATCTCTAACGACTTATGACTTAGGATTAGGTTATGACTGACCGATCAGAGGACGATATGTATCTGCCATATGGTCGAGGTTTGAATCGTTTGGGAATTGGGAGGCATTTCAAGTCGAGAGGCTGTCGATAAGAACAATACGCTTACATCTGTTTTGTAATTGTGGGCGTAAGTAAAGCAGAGAAAAACGTGACATAAAAGGCTATATTGTACAATAGTCTTTTACGACACGTTTTTCTCTGTAGGTGAACAGGCCCAGAAACGATGATGGGAGAGCTTGAGGACTATGTGGTCCCGTCAACGTAAAAAATATTACGAGCAAGGACGGTCAGGGAGTCAGGTGCCAGCCAGGATTCCCAGGAGTTTCAATATTATGGCGAAATGTCATTCCTCGTCCGACATTATGCCCCACGGCGGTAAGTACAGTATATTTTCTCTCATTGTGTTTTTCAGGCTACGTACAATATCCTGAATATTCATTATGTCTTTAGAACAAAATCAAACATGAAGCGACCTTCGTCATCGAATCCTACTTCCAAATCTATTGGACTCCAGCCGATAGTCATTTGATATACCGTCAAGTCAATCTATGACAGAGGATTGTGACACGAATTGTAATACAGACATCACAGACTTGCTTGAAAGTATGTCAAGCGGTAAGTATTTTGGATAAAGATGTTTTCGTTAGCGGTATACTTTTCAATGTTCTTAATCATTCTTTACTCATTTTTTAACAGATGATAGCTGCTTCATATCAGTGCCAGTACTGTCACCATCACCAGCAATTAGCGAATGAAATTCCTAGTTCTGACACTGATGATTGTGTTCCTTTTACTCGTACAGCAAAAGACATACTTGAGAAAGAAGCATACCTTCTGGCAACATAACTTTGCAACAGAAGTTGAAACGGAAAATTAACATTGAGAAAAAAGTTCCAGAGCCAGATCAGTTGTCCAAGAAAAAGAAGACTGAATTAGATAATTTCTTGAATTCAAGTACTAGTACTACTAGTACTACATCAATGGAAAAAATAGCCTCGCGTGTTGAAGATTTCATTAAACACAAATCTGCTACACAAGTTTCCTTTAATCCTATTGATAAAGAAGCATCAGCCGTGTCGGAATGCATTTCTGTCGCTTTAAAGAAAGTTAAGTCAGTGAGAAACAGTTGCCTTGTATGATAAAAATTTAGGACGTAATTAACGTTTTTTGTAATAAGCAGTGATTAGATTGTTTTTTTGTCAACATTATGATATAAAATAATATCCGTCCTTTTAAGTGCTTTTTTTTTATTTCAAATGATAATTTTTTTGTTCTCTGCACATATAAATGTGATATATGTGATTAAATGTTTATTATTAAGTAATATTCAAAAGTACATAAGATTTTTGTGCCAAAGATTTATTTTCTTTAATATGTATTTGTGTACGAGTTTTTATTTAGCACAAACAATGTGATACTAGTATATCATTATATTTTTATTTTCTAAGAAATATAGTACTGATATTTTTAGATTTTATAGCCGAAAGGCGGAGAGAGAGAAATACATGTTTTGTATGTTATTTATTGTTTTTTATTTTACACCTTTATTTAAAAATCATTACAATAACAAACTGTTAACAAATGCAAGTGAAAAATATTAGTAACTCAATTTCAAATCCGGGATGTTGATGATTTAAAGAATGTAACCATGTATTGCGGATTACAAAATTCTTTATTCGTACACGTAAATTTCTTGCGACCGTTACAATGTGTCTCTACTCAGATTCTGATTCTCTACGAGAACGTGCGGTAGGACCGGAAACTAGTAACTAGTAACTAACGCTCATCGCGCCGTCGGTGTCGCTCTAACTAACTATTACCGAGAAATATCTAATTCGGAACGCTTGAATATTAACTCCCGTAACATACCGCGCGCCTTGATAGGCTTGGACTATCAAAACATAAACTAAAATAAGATAACTTGTATTATTCATTAGTGATTCGTGAAAATATAAAATCCTACTCGAAACTCGCAAAACAAAATAACTTACAGCTAATTTTACAATCTTCGTAAATACTATACAGCTTGATTTTAACAATCTTCTTCAGAATGATACAATGTTCAGTCTGTCGTGTTGTCCAAATCTTCTTCTAATGGCAGTATTGCCAATTTAGCTGCTGGGCGTTTGAAAGATTTTGTTGATGTCTTAATAACAGCCGTGCGCACCACTCCATCAGCCCCTGGGCATGTTTCTTGGACTCGCCCAAGAACCCACTTCAATGGCGGTAAACCATCCTCTCGACAAATGACCAGTTGACCAACCTTGAGCGCTGGGCCACGATTCGAACACCACTTTGTTCGATTTTGAAGCTGGAGTAAGTACTCATTGGACCATCGTCTCCAGAAATGCTGCCTCATTTGCTCCAGATGCTGCCAACGTGATAGGCGGTTAACTTTTAATTGAGTTACATCAGGCTCTGGATAAGACGTTATTGTGTCGCCTATGAGAAAATGCCCCGCTGAAACATAACTAAGATCATTAGGGTCAGACGATACAGTTATCAGAGGTCTCGAATTAAAAATTGCTTCTATCTGTATCACGAGAGTAGATGCTTCCTCGAATGTCAATTTCGTATCGGCTGCTACTTTGTAGAAATGTCTCTTGAATGCCTTTACAGTTGCCTCCCACAGTCCGCCGAAATGAGGAGCCCGAGGTGGAATAAAGTGCCACTTAATTTGGTCTGAAGCAGCGACTTCTGTGATCTTATGCTGGTGCTCTTCTTTGGTGAATATGTCTCTAAGTTCTTCCAATTCGCGGTTTGCTCCAACGAAATTGGTGCCGTTATCAGAGAATACATCTGAAGGTTTGCCTCTTCTCGCAATGAATCTTTTGAAGGCGCTTAAGAAGGCGTCGGTGGTCATGCTTGACACCACCTCCAAGTGAACAGCTTTTGTAGCCATACACACAAATACGGCCACATACGCCTTGACGCTTTTGGCATTTTTTCGCGAACCCTCACGAACATATATTGGTCCGCAAAAATCTACACCAGTATGACTGAATGGTCTTGACTGTATTACACGATGAGTAGGTAGATCTCCCATCAATTGTTCCGAAAATTTCGGCTTAGCCTTAAAGCATCTTATACATCTCCGAAGAACTCTTCTGATGGTACCGCGCGCCTTGGGGGAACAATACCTGAGTCGCATCGCAGCTAAAGTGGCTTCCGGACCAGCATGCATGTGTTTTCGATGTTCGTGCTCGATGATGAGCTCCGTGATTTTTGAACGCTGGGGCAATAACCAAGGATGCTTGACGTCCGACCGTAAGTTCGCGTGTTGTAGTCTGCCACCTACTCGAATTAAGTTTTCTTCGTCGATAAAAGGCGTCAAATGCTTTAGGCTGCTTTGATTGGATACAGTTCCTTGCCTCGTTAAATCTTGTATGTCCTTGGAAAACGTTATTGCCTGCTCTCTGCGTATTAGACATTTAGTTGCTTCTTCCAACTCGTCGACTGTCAATGGTCCGTAATGTTTTTGCCGTTTGCAATTATGAACAAATCGTAAACATGTGGCTGCTATCCGTATAAGCTTAGTGAACGTAGAAAATTTGTAGAATGGACTGGTTTCCTGACAGCTAGCTACTGTAACTACTCTTGCTCTGTCGTTTTTCGCAAGCTGACTTTCATCGTATTCCGTCACTTTTTGCTGGCTTTCCGGCAGGTCATTACACCGTAACCATTGCGGTCCTTCCCACCAGAGTTGCGAATGCATTAATTCCTTGGCGCTGATGCCACGTGAAATCAAATCTGCCGGGTTCTCTTTACTTCCGACATGTCTCCAATTATCAACAGCTGTTCTTTCTTGAATACTGCCTACTCTGTGAGCCACGAAGACTGGTAGCTTCTTGTTGCTGGCCTGAATCCAATACAGCACTATTTTTGCGTCTGTCCAGTAAAATTTCTCCTCGATTTTCCCTTTCAGGGCGTTTGCAACCTTTTCCATAAGCTCAGATAATAACTCGGCACCTTGAAGTTCCAGTCTTGGTGTGGACAGTACTTTAAGGGGTGCAACTCTAGATTTGGCACATATTAAATGTACTTCCGCTACTCCGTCCGTTCCGATGCTGCGCATGTATACACAAGCACCATAAGCGTGTTCACTTGCGTCACAGAATCCGTGGATTTCTTTACGAACGCCTTGTCCACTCTGAACGATCTTCCGTGGTATGCTGATTTTCTCTAGGTCCTGTAGCTCGTGGATGTAGGTAGACCACTCCGTACGAATCTGCCTGGGTAACGTTTCGTTCCAGTCGATTTTCATCTTCCAAAGACGCTGCATCAATATCTTTGCAGTAATTATAACTGGACCCAACAATCCTAATGGGTCGAATATTTGTGCGATTTGCGATAGGATGGATCTCTTCGTGTGTGATTGTGTAGCAGACGCTTTAATTGATATTCTGTATAGAAAAACATCCTTGCTTGGATTCCAGACGACACCTAATGTTTTAGCAGCTCCATCCTTATCTAACTCTAGTAAGTAATCCTTTGATGACGATTGTGATATCTCTTTTAGAACGCCGCTGCTGTTGGATGCCCATTTGCAAATTCTGAAACCTCCTTCAGCAAGTAAGGCCGTTACTTGCCTATGAATCTTCAATACTTCTTCTTCGTCGTCTTCTCCGTAAACAAAATCGTCCATGTAAAAGCCTTTGAGTACTGCTATAGCTCCCTTAGGATATTTATCCATTTTGGATTTTGCCAACTGCTCCAAGGATTCGGTAGCTATGGCTGATGCTGAGGCTGTCCCATAAGTTAAAGTAAGTAACTCGCCAATCTTGATATTATGCGATGGATCTTCCCTCCACACTACTCTATGCAATGACGTTTGAGTTGGGTCAAGCCGTATTTGACGATACATCTTTTCTATGTCACCCGTCAATGCACATGCAGGAATTCGAAAACGTATCAAAATTACAGTGACGTCAGGTTGCACGACAGGTCCTACCATGAGAGTCTGGTTCAATGAAACCCCGCTTGTAGTTGGACTCGACGCGTTGAAAACAACTCTCAGTCTCGTGGTAGTACTGCTTCCTTTAATAACATAATGATGTGGTAGGTATACGCATGGCCATTCATCACTTACGGGTTCTTGAAGCTCTCGCATATGTCCCAACCTCTGGTACTCCCGCATGAATTCTACATATTCCCTTGTGAATTGTGGTTGTCGTTTGAGTCTCCTCTCCAAGCTGTACAGTTGTTGCACCGCAATCTCTTTGGATTCACCCAAATTCTTCAATACATCCATCTTGATCGGCAATGTTACCACAAATCTGCCTTCACTGTCTCTCTTGTGGGTTTGCATGAAGTGATTCTCGAATGCACGCTCCTCCGGGGTTCGCGTTGCTATCCTTTCACAGCTTTCAAGTTGCCAAAATTTCATAAGACTTGCGTTCAATTGATCGTTCATACTCATGTTGCATACTGTAGACTTCATGTATTGATCTCCTGTTATGCAGTTTCCTGAGGCAATCCAACCAAGAACTGTTTTTTGCCAAGTTGGCTGATTTTCAGTTACCTTTATTCTGCCGATACATAATAAATCGAAAAATATCTCCGCTCCTATCAGCAAATCTATCTTCGAGGTTTGGTTGAATTGTGGATCAGCTAATGTAATTCCGCGTGGTATTCTTATGTCACTCTTGCTTATTTCATTGATAGGAAGTCGCTGCGTAATCGTGTCCACCACCAGACAATCTAACTGCTTCCTATAACCCGTGGTTCTGGATTGTATGATAATCTTCACTAGACTTCTGGTTGATACGGCTTGTCCTCCCAATTCACAAATCGGCATGTTAGTGGATTGACGTTTGACTCCAAGTTCCGTGCAACAATCTTCCGTGATGAAGCAAGATTGAGATCCGCTGTCAAGAAGTGCACGAATTGATTTCGTTTCTCCTTTGGTATTTGGCACATTTACCAGTGCAGTTGCCAATAAAACTTGTCCTTGATTTATGGCTGCGTGATTTACCGTTGCGGGACTCGTGCTCTCTTTATTCTCAGATTTCTCCGTTTTAGGCTCAGAATCCGAATTATTTTTTGAAGCTTGCTCAAAATGCAGTAGTGTATTATGACGCTTACTGCACTTACGACATGTTCCTGCTAGACACTCCTTGGCTTGATGTGACGCGCATTTCAAGCAATTTAAACATAATTTACGTGTCCTTGCTTCCTTCACTCTTTGATCTATGTTTAGTGCCAAAAACTCCTTGCACTTGTATATAGCATGATTCTCTTGTTGACAGAATGCGCATGTATTTTTAGTGGTCGCCACATTAGCTGTCGTACTTTTATTATGAAGCGTCTTTTCTTAAGAACTTGTTGATTTCGGCGAACGGGCTGTTGCTTCTAATGCTCTACAACGTTGATTTAAAAAATTAATTAATTCTTCAAATGATGGTATCCTACCTCGTACTACCGTAGTTTCCCATTCCCGATATGTCGATTGATCCAATCTGCTGGTCACCAAATGTATCATTAAGTCGTCCCAATTATTTGTAGGTCTTTTGAGAGCTTTGAGAGCGCGGATATGCTTTAGTACAGTGTCTAATAATTTTCGTAAAATTACGTGATTATCCTTGATCATGGCAGGTAACTCAAACAGTGCTTTCACATGTCTCCCGATAATCAATCCTGGATCGTCGTATCTCTCCATCAACATTGTCCATGCTTCTCTGTAATTCTCCGCCGATGCCTCTAAAGAACTCACTACATCGTGCGCTTCTCCTTTAAGTGACGACATCAAATACTGCATTTTCTGCACGTCAGGCAACACGGCATTCTGCTCTATCATGCTAATAAACATATTACTAAATAAATGCCATTCCTCATATTCTCCAGAGAATGTTGGTAAATCCACGCGAGGTAATTTTAGGTGATCGCTTACCGAGGATCCTCCAATGGTAAATGGGGTCGCTTCTCTTACCTGGCGATCCTGCGTATGCGGTGAGCGAGTTGCCACTAGCCTTTCTTTCTCCTCTATTAACGATTCTAAGGCAGCTGATATTGTGAAATACCTATTTTCGAAGGCTGTCCTTTCCTCCAATTGATTCTCACTAACCTGTTCTGCATCTTCGGCAGCCTCGATTTTGGCTTGTACTTCGTTGAACTCGTCCCATGTGCTATTGAATTTCTGTAATCGAGTACGCAACTCAATCACGGATGTGCTTCGACAGTCGTCACCGTCTAAGAACGTCTGAACCCTCGTGCATTGCGATTTTATCGTCGCACGTCGTTGTATTAAGGCTCGTTGATTAACGTCGGTTGCGAGTGACATGTTGTATCACTATGTACCTCAATCTTCGTTGTTAAATACGTCTCGCTTCCCCGAAACTAATGACGCAAATGTATCTCACGACACTACTTCGGTATGGCGCTCGAATGTTCTCGGTGCTTCTCGACTTAGGTTAGAACGTCCGCTTTTCACGTTTCGCTCTTCAAATGCGTTTCTCGTATGTCCAGCCGTCCGTGGCTGGATCCGGCTCGAAGGA